CGCAGCTCAACTATTAACGAAATAACCTGTCAGCACTGACCTGTCTAGAGATCTCTTTACCACAAATGGACACTTACTCAAGGGATACATCCACATGTTCATTTATTTACATACTGTCTGTGTCTGCTCTCCTGCTACAGCGGCAGAGTATTGCCAAGAGAGACCATATTTTTGCTCTCTGAAAGACTCAATTATAAGCTACAGATTGGAAAAAATGTTTACAAACCACCTATTAGACCAAAGACTCATCTCCAGAGATTCACCTCTAGAATATATAAAGAACTCAAAACTCAAAAGTAGGCCAGGTGCAGTGGCTCACACTTGTACTCCTTGCACTTTTGGAGGCTGAGGTGAGGTGGCTTGAACCCAGGAAGTCAAGGCTGCAGTGAGCCATGATTACACTCCTGGCTGCATGACAGAGTGAGACCTTGTCTCACAAAACAAAACCTCCAAAGTAAAAAATGGGAAATAAACACATCAACAATGTTTGCACTCCCAGCCATAGAGAAACAAGGTAGTGCTACACACCTGAGCTCCAGTGAGTTCCAGAGACTCTGTGGCATAAAGTACTAGTTGAACATCCAAATGGCCAGGTTGTGATTTCAGCATCCACTTCTGAGTGTACTAGAGAAAGCACTGTTCTAGTACCAAAAAGGTGGTGGCTGCTGAGAATAAAGCTAGGCTTAGAGGCAGGAATCAAGGTCACGGTCTACCAACCAGATCCTCTTGGGAAGCAGCACTGGACTCATGAAATGCCAAGGCAGCAGGTGGTGCGGCTCCATGGGAAGGCTGGAGAATCTGGGAATCAAGCAGAAGCACTCATTGTTCTGACCGTGTAAATACAAAACTGTCAGCTACTATGGCCATCAATAGAACATCTGGCGGGACAAGCAACTCAGAAGATTTATAGCCACAGGGTAAAGTCCTCTCCCTTCCTCTTAGGGCTTATTTATTTGAGACAGAGTCTTGCTATGTCACCCAGGCTGGACTGCAGTGACACAATCTCGGCTCACTGTAACCTCCATCTCCTGGGTTCCAGCAATTCTCCTGCCTCAGCCTCCTGAGTAGCTGGGATTACAATTGGGTGCTACCAAGCCCAGCTAATTTTTTGTGTGTGTGTTTTTAGTGGAGACTGGGTTGCACCATGTCGACCAGGATGATCTCGAACGTCTGACCTCACGATCCACCTGTCTTGGCCTCCCAAAGTGCTGGGATTACAGGTGTGAGCCACCATGTCCGGCCAGGTTTATTTATTTTTTTAAACAGGGGCTAAATTCTTCCCCTCTCTTGGACACCAGTGAAGTATTTAAGAAAAGCAGTCACCAATTATAGAGAAATTTTGAAAGACAAATTAAAAGGTGGCTATAATGTGACATGGGAAATGCCCCATAAAACTGCATACCTCAGCCATGTCGGCTTTCTGTTGAAATTGCTCTCTGTAACCCTGATGTGACAGGCAAGCAGTCCAAACCCACACCATCTTGGCCCCTGCGACTTGTAATAAGTAACTAAAGTCTGTAATTTCCACCCTACCCAGACAATGTGTAAACTATGCTTATCTTGACTTCCATGAACCACTTAAGTAACAACTGGAATGACCAAAGTCCCCTGGCCCTCGGAATGTCTGAAGCCCCTCACCCTCACCCCCACCCAGGAGGTGGTTTACAGGCATAAAACGTCTTGACACCCTCCCTTTGAGGCTCGAGTCCTCATTACCACCGGCAATGAAGACCCTGTAATTTGGCCTAGTCTTTGTCTAGGTGGTGATTTTGCACTGGTTCGGTTACAACAATAAGTTACAACATAAAGGCATCTCATGAACTCTCATAAAAAAAAGAGGAAGAAATTAAGACACTTTTTATTATCTTTTTGAGACAGGGTCTTGCTCTGTCCTCCAGGCTGCACTACACTGGTGCAGCCTCCCAAGTATTTGGGATTAAAGGCATCTGCCACCACATTTTTATATTTTTAGTAGAGATGGGGTTTTCACCCCTGACCTCATGTGATCCTCCCACCTCGCACCCGACCAGAGAAATTAAGACATTCTCAGATAAACAAAAGCTGAGAGAGTTCATTACACTGGGACCTACCCTGCAAGAAATGCTAAAGGGAGTCCTTCAAGTCAAAACAAAAGGATGCTAGGTGGACATTTGAAGCCACATATAAAGACCTGTGTTATTGGAATTTTGATTCATATCTCTGATTTTAATTTTATTGGATTTAAAAGAGATGTGTAATCATAAGTCTGTGTTAAATATATAATTTATAAAAAAAAACAAATTAGGCATGGTGGCGTGCACCTGTAGTCTCAGCTATGGAGGATCGCTTGAGTCCAGGGCCTGGAGGTTACAATGAGCTATGACAGTGCCACTGAACTCCAGCCTGAGTGACAGAGTGAGACCCTCTCTCTAAAATATAGATATACTTTGTAACAACAACATAGGACGGGGTAGAGCTGTCAAAGAGTAGATTATTTGTATGTGATTGATCTTACTAGTTTAAAATTGATTGCTACAATTTCAGGATGTATTATGTAATCCTCATGGGAATTACAAAGAAAATATCTATAGAATGTGCACAAAAGGAAATAAGAAGGGATTCTAAGTGTGTTACATCAAAAAATCAATTAACACAAAGGAAGGCAGAAGGAAGAAAATGAGAGAAAACAAACCATGAGCCATGCAGAAAACAATCCACAGAGTGGCACTGGGAGGCCCTGCAAATGGTTTGCTGGAGTCCTCCCAGAGGAACTGCTCACTGAGCCCTTGGCTGTGGGCCTCATGGCACAGTCACCCAACAGGGCAGTGAGTTTCGTCAGATGATAGTCTTTAAAAATGCAAATGAATTCTACAATCAAAAGACTGTCAGAGACTTACACATTGATTTAAAGTGAAAGGATGAAAAAGGATATTCCATGCAAATGGTAACCAAAAAAAGGAGGAGGAGCTAATCTCAGACTAATTAGACTTAAGGTCAAAAGCTGTTTTAAGAGATAATAACAGTCAATTCACCAAAAAGATGTGACAGTTATAAATGTGTATGCAGCACACTTCAGAGCTCCTAAATACATGAAGCAAACACCGACAGAATGAAAGGAGAAACAGATAGTTCTATGGTAACAGTAGGCGACTTTAACATGTCACTTTTTTTGGAGACAGAATCTGACTCCGTTGCCCAGGCTGGAGTGCAGCGGCGTCAGACGTCATTGCAACCTCCTGAATTCAAGCGATTCCTGTGCCTCAGCCTCAGAGTAGCTAGGATTACAGTTGTATGCCACCACACCTGGCTATTTTTAGTAGAGACAGGGTTTCACCATGTTGGCCAGGCTGGTCTTGAGCTCCTGACCTCAAGTGATCCACCTGTCTAGGCCTTCCAAAGTGCTGGGATTACAGGCATGAGGCACTGTGCCTGGCCCAATAACTCACTTTCAATAATGGATACAACACCCAGACAGAAGATCAGGAGCTGGGAGAGCCAGTAATGGCTTATTCAATGGGGACAGAGTTTCAGTTTGGCAGGATTTAGTGAGTTCCAGAGTTTGGCTGCACAAAAATATGGATGTACTTACACTGAAGTATGTACTTTAAAATGGTTATGGTATATTTTTTGTGTTTCACCACATTGAAAATTTTTGACATTGGAAATGTATATTTATTTTGCACCTCCGTACTGGGCATGATGATACGATTATGAACACTGTAGTTATAAAAAGCACTCTTAGGGAGGTACAATTCTAAGTGTATAAACTAGCACAACAGAAAATAATAGACACAGACCTACAGGACTCAGATAGTAGGCTTATTAGACAGAGATTATAGATTTAAGAAGGGAACTAGAAATTATTAAAATTACTAATCACTAAATTTGTAGCTCAGTAATTAATTTAGCCAATTAGCTAATTTACTAATTACTGAAAATTACATACTGAAAAAGAACCAGAATGTAGTAGAAAGAGATGGAAGAAAAGGCCACCTAAAATCCATCTTTTAGACAGTGCTCTTAGCAGATGAGGGATAGAAGGACACTTCCTGGCCAGCCGTGGTGGCTCATGCCTGTAGTCTCAGCTACTCAGGAGGCTGAGGCAGGGGAATCACTTGAACCCAGCAGGCAGAGGTTGCAGTGGGCCGATATTGCACCACTGCACTCCAGCCTGGGCAACAGAGTAAGACTCAATCTCAAAAAAATAAATAGCAGGGTGCAGTGGCTCACGCCTGTAATCCCAGCACTTTGGGAGGCCGAGGCGGATCGATCACTTGAGGTCAAGAGTTGGAGACCAGCCTGGCCATACCCATCTCTATTAAAAATACAAAAATTAGCTGGGTGTGGTGGCAGGCATCTGTAATCTCAGCTGCTCAGTAGGCTGAGGCAGAATTGCTTGATCCCGGAGGCAGAGGTTGCAGTGAGCCACTGTACTCCAGCCTGGGTGACAGGGTGAGACTCTATCTCAAAAAAATTAAATAAATTCCATCTTTTAAACAGTTCTCCTAGCAGATGAGGGATACAAGAGCGCTTCCTTACCCTGGTAGCTCTGAGTGTCCAGTCGGTGCCCTTGCCCACAACATTTGATGGGGAAACAGTAGAGCAGCCTCCGCTGCAAGCTGCACTGAAGATCCCACCCACACAGTGAGAGTTCCCTTTAGCCTGCACTTTGGGTTGGATGCATTCCGAGCTCTCAATGCATCGTGTGTTAAGGTTCCACCCTCCTCTTGGCTGGGAAGTATGTCTTGGTTTTCTGTCTCCAGGGTGCTGGTGGCAGAGCCTGACATGGAGTGAGTGCTCCACAGATGCTTGTTCAAGTTCCTAGGAACTCAGCAGCCTGGGCCTAACACCACTGCCTGCGAAGGCCTGGCAGTTGTAGGGACTCAACGACCTGTCCCTGCTGCTCTTACAGAAAGGGCGGAGGGAGATGAGTGGGAGTGGATGGAGAGTTGTCCTTTTAATAAGGAGGGCCAGAGGCAGTAATAGGGTCCCCAGCATAATTTATTTCAGGAAACAGCAGGGGGCCCTCTCCTCTGGGGCCCATAGCCTGGCCTTACTTCTCTCTTCTCTACAGTTTGAGACTTTGTCTAAGCCAGCACTAGGCTGCCGAAGATTTCAAACTCCTTCACCTTCTACTCTAATTCCAGCTCCTTGATAAGGGCAAGATTCTTGGCTGGGACAGAATAACCAGCATGGAATGCCAGGAAACTCAGAACGGCAAGTGCTTCAAATGCAGGGAAGAAGAGCTATTGGCCATTGCGCTCAAAATACTTCTGAGGACATGAAACTCTCCCACTGGTCTGGGTAATTCCCCCCCTTCTTTCACATCTTCACTGTAAACCAAGAGACAGCATGGCCAGCAAGTCCCAGCCCTGCAGACAGAGCTCTACCCACCTTCTGTTCATGCCCAAGATATTTATTCACTTATTCAACAGCCATGTGGGAAGCCATGGCTTCAGAAAGCTGACTGTGTGGAGGGGAACAGGAAGCCAAGTTCTCAGCTGCCTGGTCCTACAGTTGAGGAGATTCTCCCAAGGTCATATAACCTACAAATGGCCAGGATGCTGCTGATGTGGGCCTGTCTGCCTCCCAGTGCTGCCCAAGCTCAATCACCCCCCACCACTTCTGCTTTTGCAATAATAGCCTTATGTCACATATTCTACCAGTTACTTTATGAAAGGAAGTCAAGTAAACTTTAGCCATATCCCAAGCCATAACAGGTAGCTCCTGTTCAAAATCAGGTCATGCAAGATCAGATCTGCACCCACAACTGTTACAGGTGCTGTGCTAGCCACTGTTTTGGGGAACTCAGCCTAGGAATATGAGTGAAGAGACAACTTACAAAGAAAAGCAAATCACTGGCATGCAGGGGCCCCTGAGCAATTCAGAGTTAGAGGCAACTAGAGTGTGCAGGCACCTGGCCTGCTGATTTCCCAATATGCTTAATGGATCCATGATGTCGGGTCCACAAAGGAAATGCAGAAGCCTTCCCTTCCTGCCTCCCACACTCTGTGGGTCAAGCATTTACCAAAAACACAGCAGTGGACTGGACACCAGCAGAGATACAAAGAGGGAAAAACAGTTCTCCCTTCTCAAGGCAAGTTGGACAACATCAATATTTTGCATTTAGGATGTGCGGGTGGAGTGTGTGTGTGCATGCCCAGAATTTAAAGACAAACAGATGGGAGAGGGAATGATTCCAGCAGAAAGACCAATAAATATTCACATCTACAATGTACACTGAACTGCAGCCTAGACAACAGAGCAAGGCTCTGTCTCCATAAAACTTTAAAAATTAGCCAGGCGTAGTGGCACATGCCTGTAGTGTCAGCTACCCAGAAGGCTGAGGCGGGAGGATCACTTGAGCCCAGGAGTTTAAAATTACAATAAAGTGTGATCACATCACTGCACTCCAGCCTGGCCATCAGAGCAAGGCCCTATCTTAAAAAAAAAAAAAAAAAAAAAAAAACGAGATATTTACAGAAAAATCAATATATGGAAATCCAAAATAAAATATTAGCAAATAAACCCCACTGAGGCTTAAAATAAAACTTACCTAAACCAGGAGACTTGTACAGTATGAAAAGGATGGCTCAAAATTAGAACTTTTCGTTATATTAATATGTTGAAAATCATAATCATCATAGATGTTGAAAAGGCATTTGAAAAAATTTACTACAAAATTTAAAAAAGAAACATCAAATTAGAAAGAGGGATACTTCCTTAAATTACACACAATAAAGGAAATTAAACACAGAAACACACCCATCAAGCCAAAGCCCAGCATCATTTGTAAGGCATGGAAGAGATAGAAGCTTCCATCAATCTTTGGAATGAAAGAATGCCCTCTGTTACCACTATTATTTTGGAGGCCCTAGCTGATGCAACTAGGCGAGGAAAGTAAGACATTAAAGAGAAAAGCAGAAGGTGAAATAGTTATATTTACTCTGAAAAATAAGGCAGACAGATTTTGCTAAGGAGTTAGGTACAAAGGAATAAACTAAACAGCCTCCCTTTTTCTTCATTTTTAATCTATAGAGGTGGGGCTGGGAACAGCTCATGCCTGTAATCCCAGCACTTTGGGAGACCAAGGCAGGTGGATTGCTTGAGGCCAGGACTTTGATACTAGCCTGGCCAACATGGTAAAACCCTGACTCTACTAATAATACAAAAATTAGCCACGTGCGGTGAAACACACCTGTCATACCAGGTACTCTGGAGGCCGAGGCATGAGAATTGCTTGAACCTGGGAGGTGGAGGCTGCAGTGAGCTGGAACTGCACTAGTGCACTCCAGCCTGGGCAACAGAGCAAGACCCTGTCTCTAAATAAATAAATAAATACCCTGTCTCTAAATAAATAAATAAATAAATAAAGAGATGGGGTCTTATTATGCTGCCCAGGCTGGTCTCAAACTCCTGGGCTCAAGCAATTCTGCCTCAGGCTCCCAAAGTGCTAGGATGACAGGCCTAGGCCACCACACCTGGCCACTGACAGTCTTCCTGTGTACAAACAAGCAGTTAGAAAAGAGAAGAAAACATCCCATTTGCAACAGCACACCCCTCAAAAAACAAAACTTCCAGAAATCAATATGCAAAAATATGCACACACCATCCATATGAAGAAATCTTTCAATGAAACACTTTGAATGCAAAGAAAGCCACAGCTGCACATGTTATCGAGAAAGATTCAACATTAAAAAGATGTCGTGGCCAGATGTGGTGGCTCACACCTGTGATCCCAGCACTTTGGAAGGCCGAGGTGGGCGGATCACAAGGTCAGGAGTTTGAGACCAGCCTGAGCAGCATAGTGAAACCCTGTTTCTACTCAAAATACAAAAAAATTAGCCAAGCATGGTGACCTACATCTGGAGTTGCAGCTACTCAAGAGTTGCGGCGGAGAATTGCTTGATCCAGCAGACAGAGATTGCAGTGAGCAGAGATTGCACCACTGCACTCCAGCCTGGGTGACAGAGTGAGACTCCATCTCAAAAAACAAACAAAAAGTTGTTACTATCAATATCAAGTCAGGGTGTGTGGAAATGGAGGCTTCACACATGCTGGGGGAACATAAGACAGAATGGCCACTCCAAAAGACAGTTTGGCAGTTTCTTAGGTAAATATAAATTTACCTTATGGAGTTGGATGCTGTGGCTCAGACCTGTAATCCCAGCATTTTGGGACGCCAAGGTGGGTAGATCACCTGAAGTCAGGAGTTCGAGACAAACTTGGCCAACATGGTGAAACCCCGTCTCTTCTAAAAATACAAAAAAGTAGCCCAATGTGGTGCAGGTGCCTGAAATCCCAGCTACACAGGAGGCTGAGGCAGGAGAACGGCTTGAAAGTGGAAGGTGGAGTTTGCAGTGAGCTGAGATCATGCCTCTGCACTCCAGCCTCAATGACAGAGCCAGACTCTACCTCAAAAAACAAAAAAAGTTAGGTGTGGTGGCACACGCCTGTAATCCCAGCTACTCGGGTGGCTGAGGCAGGAGAATCACTTGAACCTGGGAGGTGTAGGTTGCAGTGAGTCAAGATCATGCCACTGCACTCCAGCTTGTGCAACTGAGTGAGACTATCTCCGAACAAAGTGTCAACATCAGTGGCTCTTTGTATACTCACGGAATGGTGCATCCATCACCACAATTGATTTTAGAACATTTTTATTTCCCCAACAAGGAATGCTGCCATCCTTGGTCATCACCCCTCCCAATTCTTCCTTCCTCCCCCAGCACTAGATAACCAGTAATCTGCTCCCTGTCTCTCTGGATTTTCCCATCTGGGCATTTCATATAAATGGGATGATACCGTATGTGGCCCTTGGTGACTGGCTGCTTGGGCTTGGCATAAAGTGTCAGGCTCACCCACATGTGGCCCATGTCTGTGCTTCATTCCTTTTCACTGCCTTATTGCCCAAGTGGTGTCATAAGCACTGCAGGTGAACTGTGAAAAGTTAGGGTGTGTGTTGTACTCCCTAGAACAGTTGCTAAAGAAAGCACATATAGCTAAAAACATAGGGCAAAAAGATATAGCCAAAAAGTCACTAGAAATGAAAGGATTTGTGAAGAAACACTTCATTTATCCAAAAGAAGGCAGGAAAGGAGGAACAAAAAAAGAGAAATAGGCCAGGCACGCTGGCTCACTACTAAAAATAAAAATAAAATAAAAAAAAAATTAGCGAGGCACAGTGGCGCACACCTGTAATCCCAGCTACTTGGAAGGCTGAGGCAGGAGAATCACCTGAATCTGGGAGGTGGAGATTGCAGTGAGCCGAGATCATGTCACTGCACTCCCACCTGGGCAACAGAGCAAGACTGCTTCAAAAAGAAAAAAAAAAAAAAAAAAAAAAAGAACACAAATGGGATAAGTTAGAAATTCCATTGAACTGTAAGTGAACTAAACATTCCAAATGAAAGTGAGATATTGAGACTGAATTTTAAGAAACACAAACAAAAACATGACCCACCTATCTAATGTGAAGAGGCACCCTTTAAATACAAAAACACAGCTAAGATGAAAACAACAGATATGAAAAAACATATCTATGTAAACATTAGTTATAAGAAAGCTCTATTAACATTAGATAAATAGCTAAGTAATATGTGGGCTTCCTACTTCGACAGAACAATTAAATACTGAGAATATGAGGTTGGTGCAGTGGCTCAGGCCTGCAATCCCAGCACTTTGGGAGGCCAAGGTGGGCAGATCACTTGACGTCAGGAGTTCAAGACCAGCCTGGCCAACATGGTGAAACCTTGTCTCTACTAAAAGTACAAAAATTAGCCAGGCACGATGGCAGGTGTCTTTAACCCCAGCTACTCAAGAGCCTGCCATGGGAGAATGGCTTGAATTTGGGAGGCACAGGTTGCAGTGAACCAAGATTATGCCATGTACTCCAGCCTGGGTGACAGAACGAGATGCCATCTCAAAAACAAATACCAGAGAATGGTACACTTTAAACTGCTGCATTTTGTGGTATGTGAATTACATGTCAATTTCTTAAACGACTGGTAGGAGAAGTAAGGCACTGAAAATTATATTTTGGTTTTGTAATTAAACAAGAGATTTCTTCCTCTCTCCCCCAAAAATGTCGTCTTTCAGTTTCTGCACACTTCCTCCTTCCCTCCCCTATCCATCCACCCAGAGGAACTTGTATCTGTTCCCACCCAACCAGATTAGAAGTCTTTGTCTTAATTTGAAGACTGGTAGGTAAATTAGAAGTCCCAAGTAAAGAAAGAGGGGGGTCCCACAGCCCTGTTCCATCTGAGCCTCCCACACCCCATGACTCACTTTACCCCGTAACACGCCTCTCCTCTGGTTTACCATCTGAAAGAATAAACTTATTTTTCTTATTCACCAATAATTTATATAAACCAAAAATTGCAAACAAGGGTGTCCTTAGCAAGCTGATCTCATTCTCTTCAAATACCAATTGCTCTCCAGTAAAGGAACTGTCTTTCCAGACAACATCAATTCACTTGGAAATCTCACTTCAAACAGAAAAGTTAAGGTCTTCAAAGGTTTGCTGTGGGCAAAGCATTTGCAGGAATGCATGGGGCTGAAGGTCAAAGGCAAAGAAAACAAGGCATAAATTATTTTGCTCTCATTTCATTTGTCCTTTTATGCTATCACTAATCATGGTTAGTGATTAGTATAGTGAGAAAAATCTGCTTTTGAAGGTTTTTATTGGAGATAGAGTCTTGTTCTGTAGCCCAGGCAGAGGTGCAGTGGCACAATCTCAGCTCACTGCAATCTCCATCTCACGGGTTCAAGAGATTCTCCTGCTTCAGCCTCCTGAGTAGCTGGGATCACAGACACCCATCACTATGCCTGGCTAATTTGTATGTTTTTATTACAGGTGGGGTTTCACCATGTCCAAACTGGTCTCAAACTCTCACAGGAGAAACATCATGTGATCTGCCCACCTTGACCTCCCAAAATACTGAGATTACAGGCATGAGCCACCTCACCTGGCGAGGTAAACTTTCTCTAATGGAAGTAACAAAACAGGTATAATCCAAAAATAACAGATATATCAAAAATTTTAAAAGAGTGTTGGAGGCCAAGGCAGGAGGATCACTCGAGACCAAGAGTTCGAGACCATCCTGGCCAACACAGCGAGACCTCTCATGTATAAAACATTTTTTAATGATACAGGAAAATGCTAACTTGGGTAGTGACACAGTTTCAATGCATCATTGCCTGATCTTCTGGGTTTCGCTCTGGACCTCGTGATAGATGATTAAGTCATGTGTCCAAGCTCAGGGACTTCCTGTTGTACACAGATGATGCTCCCTGGAACACCCCGCTCCAATCCCCCTCCCTTCAACTTGTCCCAGTGTATCATATTCAGCCCAGACCAGGACAAGCCCTGCTCATGTCATAAGCCTTGCCTAGGCCAACGGCCTAGAAAAGATCCCCATCAACCCCCACAAAGGGCAGGGTGACTCAGTTCACCCACATGGTGCAGGCCAGCTGCCTGCCTTGCACTGTCTCCAGACGTGGACCAGTGTACAAACTACACAGCCAGGGCCCTGTTCTCAAAAGTGTCCCTAATGCTTGCTTGAATGCTCTGCTGCTTTAATCTTTTCTTTCTTTCTTTCTTTCGAGACAAAGTCTCTCACTGTCACCCAGGCTAGAGTGCAATGGCGTGATCTTGGCTAACTGTAACCTCCACCTCCCAGGTTCAAGCAATTCTCCTGCCTCAGCCTCCTTAGTAGGTGGCATTACAGGCACCCACCACCATACCCAGCTAAGTTTTGTATTATTAGTAGAGGCAGGGTTTCACCATGTTGGCCAGGCTGATCTCAAACTCCTGACCTAGTGATCCACCTGCCTCGGCCTCCCAAAGTGACGGGATTACAGGCATGAGCCACTGCGCCCAGTCCACTTTAATCTTAATTTCTGAAAATTAGTGATTTTTGTTTTGTGCTGATCCCTGCAAATTAAGTAGCAGTTCCTACTTCAGAGCCACTTAATGAAGATTCTCAGGTGGCTAGAGTAAGCCGGGATTTAAAGTAAGGGGCTGGACAGGCACAGAGCCCCTCCAACAGGGAGACCTTTCCCTTGCTTTCAAGTAACCCTCTCAGAGCCATTTCTTAATGGAGTCTGAAACAGCCTGGTGACCTGCCCTCAACTGTTTTAATCACTGGCTGTGCCCCTCTTCAAGAGCGGGTGCATTTCACGTAAGTGCATAATTAATACTAACAAGAGGGGCTGTGCCCATGGGCTGGGGTCCTGTCATGGGCATTCTATGTTTGGGGTCCCTGGGAGGCACAGGACCCAGATCTGTCCTTAGAGTATGACAAAAGATCACTCTTTAGTGCCCTGTCCTGAGCAGGACAAGACCTAACAACCCTTTCGGTCAATGCTGAAACATCTCCCAGGCATGAGCATTGATGGCATTTGCAGGACGGTTGGCAGCACTTGGCGGTGGGCCAGCTGTGCCTCAGTGGCTCTGGCGGTTCAAACCCACAACCCAGCCAACTCACCCTGGGCTCCAACCAGCCTGGCTAACTGGGAACAGCCATTGCCAATTGCACTCAGGTATCTGAAAGACCCTACCTTTCCCATGAAGCCTCTTGCAGGGTGTTTCAAGAAGGAAATGGTAACAGTAAGGGGAAACCACAAACCCATATAACTCTAATAGCATCACCTCTTGGTCCATGGGGGTAGGGGGAGGGTGCTTCCTATGTTGAATTTCATCCTGATGCCAGCCTGGTGGGGGTAGGAGCAATGCCATTTGCTTCATCTCACAAACAAGATTGCATCAGCCCTCCAAGAGATGAAGCCAGGGACTGAGACTGGCTGGCAAAGCCAGGACCGGGACCGACCGGGCCTCTCTGACTTTGGAGCCTTAGGGCACACTGTTGGTGTCCACAGATCCCGGCCTAGTGCAGCCTGTGTGATCAGCTGGGGCTGAGGTTCCCTCTGCTGACAGAGCTTTCCCTCTTAAGGACACTGGTGGGGTAGTGGTCCCATCAGATCATCTGTCCCTGGGAACACTCTTTTCCAGAGAACTCCAATAAGGAAGAGAAAGTAGGTCCACTGACATCTGTGTCTCTCAAAATAACTTTGTAATCATACGTAAGCACCCAACACTGCGCTTATAATCAGACAGTTCAGGACCCTCCGCTCTGAGAGAATCAACGTGGGCCATCTCCTTCTCCTGTTTGGGTCTTAAACTCTGCCTCTGGAGCCTTGTTTCGAAGGCTAAGTTTTCAGCCAGAACAAGTGCCCATGCTCTGCTCTCCCAACCCCATGCCCTGACCATAGACAGGAAGGCTGAGGACAGACAGGATCTTTGCTCCCCTAGACAGAGGTGGCTGTGACTGAAGGACCCTCAGAGGCAGGCAGGGCCCTTTGTCCTTTTTTGTCACTGTGCTGACCACCTTGGGAGCTAATTCTGCTCCTTAAACCTTCTGGAAACACTTAAGTTCCCCCGAACACTGCAAAAAGGATTAAGTCAACTGAGATAAGATATGTTTTTCCAATTAGTTATAAACCACCCATGTTGGAGTTTTTATAAAACATGGCTGGTTGCTTTCCCATTACCCAAGATTCCTCATTCTTTCTTTCTGCATAACTTCACAAGGTTTTCAAGTAAATTTGGCACTAACGGCCTATGACCATGGAGTAAACAGGACGCTCACAGTGAAGTGCTAAAGCCAAAATCTTCTCTTCCATGTGCCATGCTATGAGAAAGGAGATGGAGAGTAACTTCCACCTACCAAACTTCCCTACCTCAGGCTTCTTAAGACTCACATCAACAGGGGCAACAACATTTGTGTTGGGATATGCATTTTACTCTATATGTGCATCTTTAAAAAATCTTTTCCTGGCCGGGTGCAGTGGCTCACACCTGTAATCCCAGCACTTTAGGAGGCTGAGGTAGGCAGATCACAAGGCCAAGAGATCAATACCATCCTGGCCAACATGGTGAAACCCCATCTCTAGTAAAAAAATACAAAAATTAGCTGGGCGTGGTGGCACGTGTCTGTAGTCCCAGCTACTCTGGAAGCTGAGGCAGGAGAATCACTTCAACCTGGAAGGCAGAAGTTGCAGTGAGCCGGGATTATGTCATTGAACTCCAGCCTGGCAACAGAGCAAGACTCCATCTCAAAAAAAAGGAAAGATTTTTCCCACTGACATTTATTTCTCATGCCAAGTTGGGGCCTGCTGGCAAGCTGGGGAGACCAAGATCCCAGAGCCAATGTGCTCACTCTCCTTAAAGGGGTGTGACACCAGCCAGAGAGGTGGACAATGTGGTAAAGGCCGGGAAAACACTGTCTCACACTTAGGAAGACAGAAGAGATCTCGCAAAGGGCAGGGCAGCCCCGGGAGCAGGTGACTCATAATAGCAGGAATAAATATTACAGCAAGTGTATCCACACATGGGAGGAATTTAACAAGGCTGTTCTTTTTTCGTGAAGGAGTCTTGCTTTGTCACCCAGGCTGAAGGGCAGTGGTGCAATATTGGCTCACTGCAACTTCTGCCTCCTAGGTTCAAGCTATTCTCCTTGTTCAGCCTCCTAAGTAGCTGGGATTACAGGCATGCATGACCATGCCTAGCTAAGTTTTTGTATTTTTAGTAGAGACAAGATTTCTCCATGTTGGTCAGGCTAGTCTTGAGCTCCTGGCCTCAGGTGATACGCCTGCCTTGGCCTCCCAAAGTGCTTGGATTACAGGTGTGAGCCACCGCACCCGGCCAATACATTTGTTTTTTTAAGCTCCTAGGTTTGTGGCAATTCATTACACAGCATTACCAGCTCTGACCAGAGATCTCAAGCACCAACCCCGGCTGTCATACCTGTGGAAAATGCCAAGTCCTCACATGCCTCTCCAGGCCTCCAAGAGACCTCCTGTGGTCCCATCAGCCTCCTAAAGGCCCCTTAGGGCACTGTCACTACTCTGCAGGAGCCACTGAGAGCAGTAAGGAGAGTAGTGGCTGTGGAATTTGAAGCTTCTAAGTCCCGGCCCCCCAGGGCCTCAGGTGTCTTACGCAGGTGTGCTGTTAACATGATGTATCACTTGATGTTAACCTTGGCTGTCTGTCTGGGTTAGTCTATCGGGTTTTGCCACCGTAAAGTTACTCTTTTATCCCCCTTTCCGTTATGGAAGAAAGTCACTGTGCACAGCCCACACTGATAAAGGAGGCATCCTCAAATTTATTTACTGAGTTTGGCAACTCTGCCTGTCACACCAGCACATTTCAAGTACTCCATAAATCCATGAGACTGCTGACAATCACATTAGACAGTGCGGCTCTCCTCTAGAACATCAAGGAAACGCAAGTACCCACACATCAGTCTCTCAGGTACCGCTGTACTGCTGTTTACTTAACAGTTTTCTGTAATAGGGCTCACTTTTTTTTTTTTTTTTTTTTTTTTTTTTTGAGATGGAATCTCACTCTGACACTCAGGCTGGAATGCAATGGAGTGATCTGAGCTCACTGCAACCTATGCCTTCTGGGTTCAAGCGACTCTTCTGCCTGAGCCTCCCGAATAGCTGGGAATAGAGGCATACACCACCACATCCAGCTAATTTTTATATTTTTAGTAGAGACAGGGTTTCACCATGTTGGCCAGGCTGGTCTCGAACACCTGACCCCAGGTGATCTGCCTGCCTCAGCCTCCCAAAGTGCTGGGGTTACAGGTGTGAGCCACTGAGCCCAGCTGAATTTGCATTCTTTATCAAGAGTCAATCTCAAAGGCCTCTCATTTCAGTTTCTGCCCAAACCATATGAACCATTTTTTGGACTCAGCTGGCTACCTCCTTTTCCTCCACGCTTTTATGCCTTTACCAAGTCTTCCCTCTATATTTAAAGAGCACTCCCCAGCAGTCTAGCCATCACCCTCAGGTTCACTATAAACTATACAGGGGGCCCAATTAAAAAGGCCCTCCTAAGCAGGGGGCTCCTTTCATTTGAAAACTGCTGCAGGCCACGTGTAAATTCAAGACACTGCCTTTGCTTGTATATTTCCACTGTCTTCCAGCCTAAAACCCAGCCAGTCCTAACACTCACTGACTGCCCATGTGTGTTATGTTAGACCCCATGCTGGGCAGGGATACTGAGATAAGGAAGGCACAATCACACATCACTGGAAGCACCTCCAACAGAAACAGAGATAGCAACAGATGATTTCAGAAGAGCATATGTGCCTGACTACAGAGACCCACTCTTAGGAGGGGAACATTAATTCAGTTCCCAAGAACCTACCAGGTACCACCCTTCAAAGGAAGAGTGCTCTCCACTTCACAGACTGACTTTGAAGGCCAAAGTCAAACAGGAACCAGCAGGACCAGGACCGGACCCCAGCTTTGGCTGACACCACTATCTCCCTTATCGCAGGAGGCAGAGGCCACTCGAAGATGTCCTTTTGCACAAGCTCCAAAGTATCTATTAAATGTGGGTCATTATGGTTGAAAATGCATTTTTCCCCTTGTCCTTGCAGCTGCTCTGTAAGTTTGGGCTGTAGCCTGATGTTCATGTGCCCCAGCCCTAGCCAACTGCTGGCAAACAGATCACAGAGTTGTGACCCTTGGAATTGGAAGCCATTCTACACACAGTGTCTCTTCTAGGTGCTTTTTCTCATCAACCATTAAACCACAAACAGGCCAAGTGACAAAGCACCCAGTTCCTTCACATGGTCATTCCTTCGCCCTCTCGCTTCACCTGATGCAGAAGAATTTGTCAGTCAAACTTGAGCATTACAAGAATATGCGACAGAAAGAATTAGATATCTCAGTAATCCAAAAGCTGCTAAATGAGGGTTTTCTGCATTTTGGGGGTAATGTAAAGGAATTCCAAGAAAAGTGAAGTCACAGATTCTGCAGCTTATTTTCAGTTCTTAGAAAAGAGCCAGTGTCAAAGGGAAAGCGGCTCTGCCCCAGCACACAGACTCCATTGTCTGGCAGGGGGTGTTTGCTGATAAACCACCTTGGATTTGCCACCAGAAACCAAAAACTTCTGACTTATGTTTTCAGTTGGTGATATCAAGGAGGAAACACAAGCCAAAGCAGTGAAAGTTATTAACATTCAGAGAAACCACACAGTTCAGCTAACATGCTGGGTGACACCCTTCCATCACCAAGCCACCAGCAGTTTTGAGGTGACTGTCAGAAAAAACATAGTAGCCTCCTTTTCCTACCCCCCTCCCACATTCCTGAGATGTGTTATCACTCAGGCCACCATGTCAGCCCAACCAGCATTTTTCAATGGACATTATTTACCAGAAGGTGCGGGAGGACAAATGGGGCAGGATAGGGTACAGGTGGTTTTCGGCAGCTTGGGTCTGCTTTCTGGCATACAAACAGGCTTCACCACAGTAGGGCAGACTTTAGGTTAAGATCTCGGGAGTCTACTACACATCCAGCTCATATACTATCAGGTGTCCTATAATAATTTTGTGAATGAGGTTTGCCTTTTATTATTTATTTTGAGACAGAATCTGGCTTCATCTTCCAGGCTGGGGTATGGTCGCAAAATCTCAGCTCACTGAAATCTCCACCTCCTGAGTTCAAGAAATTCTCATGCCTCAGCCTCCAGAGTAACTGAGATTATAGACGTGTGCCACCATGCCTGGTGAACTTTTTTCTATTTTTAGTAGAAACGGGTCTCACTATATTGCCCAAGCTGGTCTCAAACTCCTGGCCTCCAGTGATCAGTCTGCCTGACCTCCCAAAGTGTTGGGATTACAGACATGAGCCACTGCACCCAGCCACTGTGACTAAATTTTAACCTAAGAATTCTGTAACAGAGATCTCATTGTCTGCACCAAAATTCAATTTCAATGTAATCAAAAGACACTCATCGAGTGATCCAGCCAGGGAGAGTGCCTAAGGAAAAATGATAAAATGGAATGCGGTGTCCTGAATGAGACACTGGAACAGGAAAGGACATTAGAAATAACCCGAAGAAATCTGAATGAAGTAGACTTGGGTGAATAAAAGCATCTCAGTATTTGTTCATTAATTTTAACAAATGCACCATACTAATGTACAATGTTAATAATAGGGAAGCTGGGTACAGATACATGGGAACTCTTTGTATGATCTCTGCAATTTCTCTGTCTCTCTCTCTGTCTCTCTCTCTCAGTGTGTGTGTGTGTGTGTGTGTGTGTGTGTGTGTGTGCGCGCGCGCGCACGTAGACAAGCAAGAATGTATTGATACTCCCAGCAATAATGATTTGGTGCCTACCAAGTGTCACATACCATGTAAAAGTGATCTGCACATATCTTCATTTATTCCTCACACCAGTGCTATGAGCTGGTCATAATCTGCATTTTACAGATGAAGAAACTGAAGAACAGAGGTGCTAGATACCTTGCTCATAGTCACATGGCAAGGTTAGTGGCAGATAAAGGTCTCAAATTCAGGTTGACAGGACAGCTCAGCAATATTGCCTCAAATATCCCGGAGAATGAACATAAAGCAGTTCAAAGCAAGCTGCATGAGGGCCATGAAAACAAGGCACACTTTCCAATCTACCCCACATTAAAAAGAAGTTTAAAAGCAGAGCACAGGCCAGGCACAGTGGCTCATGCCTGTAATCCCAGCACTTTGGGAGGCCCAGGCAGTTGGATCACGAGGTCAAAAGATTGACACTATCTTGGCCAACATGGTGAAACCCCATCTCTACTAAAAATACTTTTTTAAAAAATTAGCTGGGCATGGTGGCATGCACCTGTAATCCCAGCTACTCAGGAGGTTGAGGCAGGAGAATCGCTTGAATTTGGGAGGTGGAGGTTGCAGTGAGACAAGATCATACCACTGCACTCCAGCCTGGCAATAGAGTAAGATTCTGTCTCAAAAAAACCAAGAAACAAACAAAAAGCACAGCACACCCAAAACACAACACTCAATGCTGGAGAGGATGTCCGTAAGTCCACCAATATTACCATACATTCTGTGCAATCAAGAAATTTACTTGGATGGGGTGGGGTGGGCTCCCGTGTGTAATTCCAGCACTTTGGGAGGCCAACGTCGGTGGACTACCTCAGGTCAGGGGTCTGAGAACGGCCTGGTCAACATGGCAAAACCCCATTTCTATCAAAAATACAAACTTAGTCTGGCATAGTGGCACACTCCTGTAATCCCAGCTACTCAAAAGGCTGAGCTGCAGAAATGTCTGAACCTGGGACAGGGAGGTTGAAGTGAGCTGAGATTTTGCCACTGCCTTCCAGCCTGGGAGACACAGTGAAACTCCCTCTCAAAATAAAAGAGGGCCAGGTGTGGTGACTCACACCTGTAATCTCAGTACTTTGGGAGGCCTAAGTGGGTGGATCACCTGAGGTCAGGAGTTTGAGACCAGCCTAGTCAACATGAAGAAACCTACTTTCTACTAAAAATACAAATATATACATATATAAATATATGCATATATATATATACATATATATATATATATATATATATATACACATATACATGTACATACATACATATATATTTTAGCCGGGCAGTGCCACCGCTACCCCATTCATCACCAATATTCGTTGATGTCTCTTCCTCTCTTTTTTTTTTTTTTTTGGGGTTCCGTCTCCGTTCCTTGGAGCCTCCCAGGCTGCAGTGCCATGGTGTGTTCTTGGCTCACTGCAACCTCTACCTCCTGGGTGTAAGCAATTCTTCTGCCTCAACCTCCCAAGTAGCTGGGACTACAAGCATGCACCACCATGCCTAGCTAATTTTTGTATTTTTAGTAGGGATGAGGTTTCACCATGTTGGTTAGGATGGTCTTGAACTCCTGACCTCCAGTGATCCACCTGCGTTGGGCTCCCAAAGTGCTAGGATTCCAGGCATGAGCCACCATGCCCGTTTTTTTTTTTTTTTTTTTTTGAGTTGGGGGTCTCCCTATGTTTCCCAGGTAGGCCCTCAAGCGATCCTCCCACCTCAACCTGCTGAGTGAGATTACAGGTGAGTGTCACCTTGCCTGGCATCATTTTGTCACCACAGACCCCTCTCATTCCCTTACATAGGAAGTCACTGAGAACCAGAAAAGCTTGAGCCAAGAATCAGGGAAACTGATATTTGAACTCATTTCTGTTGGGTGCCAAACTTCTCTGTGCCCCCTTCTGTGAAAATTAGAGGTGGCAAGATACAGTGGCACACACATATAATCCCAGCATTTCAGAGACCTAGGTAGGTGGATCACCTGAGGCCATTGCACTCCAGCCTGGACAACAAGAGTAAAACTCTGTCTTGAAAAAAAGAAAGGAGGAGAAAGAAAGAGAGAAAGGAAGAAGGAAAGAAGAGAGGAAGAGAGAGAAAGAAGAAAGAAAGAAAGAGAGAGAAATAAAGAAAGAAATAAAGTAAGGAAGAAAATCAGAGGCTTTGGTCCCTTAGTCTGCCACACTCTGGAGTAATTGTGTCCCTGCTTGAATGTGATCTCCTTGAGGCAAAGTCTGGGTCTCCTTCCTCTTGCATGCCCACCCTGGCCTGTCTGTCCCACACGAGCTGCTTAATGAAGGCTGGCCCATGTAGAGTATGGGTTTGAGGCATCCCAAGACTTGGAGTTGTAGAAGATCTGAGTGAGAAGCCTTGGAATGCTCTGCCCATCAGGAAATGTGTCTATCCCAGAGTTCAGCCGAGAAGCTGTGCTCCCTCCGACACCACTGCTCAGAGCTCCCCTACCCAGGGTGGAACCTTGGATGGCCAAGTACATTGGCTCAATATTTGCCTTGAGTAGCTGGGTGCAGTGGCTCCAGCCACTGTTGGATCTGTAATCCTAGCACTTTGAGAGGCTGAGGTGGGTATTCAGAATATATAAAAATAATATCTGAAATGTTTTGAGTGTAACACAAAATTTGAAAACAATTTTTAAAATTAGACGTAATTCCATTACATCAATATAAAAAATTCCCTCATGGCAAAACATGGCAAGCAAAGTCAAAGGACAAACAACAAACTTAAAAGCAACAGTATAAGTCATATCACCAAGAGCTAATTTGCTTAATATAGCTAAAGCTCCTACATATCAATAATAAAACAGTAATCATGTAACAGAAAAATAGGTAGCATATAGGAACAGTGAGCTCTCAGAAAAAGAATTACAAATGACTCATTCACATGAAAAGATGCCCAAACTCTGTAATAAGAGATATATGTCAAAAATCAGAATAAAATAACATTTTCACCAATCAGATAAACTCTAGTAGCACTCTGTACTGTTGAGTGTATAAGGAAACAGACACACTAAAGCCTTGTTGGTGGAAGTACATACCGACAAAATGTTAATGGAGAACAATTTGGAAATGTGGGCAATGATGTATTTACATGCAAGTATTATGTACTTCAGCACAGATATAACAGGAAAAGTGGCAGGGACTACTAAAGCATGTTACATTCAGTCGATGGAGTGAATGCTCTACAACCATCACAAAGAATGGGGCAGTCCCATAAGTACCAAAATGAAGTGATTCTTTAGATATCCAGAGCAGCAGATCTTTTTCCTTCTTGGGCTTCACTACTGGTAGAGTCATCTTTGGTAAGGTAATGCAGAACATCTAATTCAAGAATATGGGTCTGAAGAAGAATTCAAAGTTACCAATTGGGGAAAGAGCTTTTTATAAAGCAGCGTAAAAATCTACAAATTACCTAGAAAACAGAACATCCTGCAGAAAACTCAAACTAAAAACATCCAAAACGGAATTCTTTACTACACTTGCACACTAACCTGTCTCATCATCCTACCAAATCTGCTTCTTTTCCTCCTCAGACAACCCCAGAGAGCTCAGACATCCTTAAACTCCATGTAAGCTCATGAGGTTAAAAACAGCCAGAGGGTGATTAACTCATGAATCCCCAAGTGTGTTCTCAGATCATCCACAGGAACCAAAAAGCAGTGAGCTTTTCCAAATGCACAGGAACAGAAGCAGAAAGCAAGTGATTTAATCAAGACACCACAGAGATTAAAGGTAAGCATCTACTTACCACGTGAATGAGTGTTTGTCTCATTTTGATCTCTGTCTTAACCAACTATACAAAATTCCTATGAACTGAGAAAAGATTTATTATACTTCCTTGTGAAATCAGAGGTACTAGATTAACTGAATCCATAACTGCTAACTATGAAACACAACTAAAGGCTAAACTATGAAGCTTCAGTTTTATTTCAGGCAACCTCCTGACATAAACACAATCTAGATAAAAAATAAAGCTCAACAACATACACGCATCCCCAGAAAATCACACAGAACACCAACACATAGAAAGGGTGGGCCTGCTTCCTACCCACAACACTGTCAAGCTTGCTCTGGTAAGTGAAAGCCAGGAAGCTCATCCCTGAACAGGATGAAGAGGGATGAATACAAGAACAAGGAAGCCCTTCTATAAAGAGAGTTTGGAGTGTGTCTCTGTGTGTATATGTACTCACATTTTTAGTCCCTTAGGTGTGTGAAAGGAAAATAAATCTTGGGGCCCCTAAATCACTAAGCTAAAGGGAAAAGCCAAACTGGGAACTGCTTAGGGACAACCTGCCTGTCACTGAGATAGATGCATAGCTGACTGCCTCCTTTGGAAAGGCTAGTCAAAAACTCAAAGAATGCAAGCATTCCTCTCTCTCACCTATCTGTGACCCAGAAGCTCCTTCCAGCTTCAAGTCGTCCTGCCATTCCGGACACAACCATTGTACTTCTTACATACGTTGGCTGATGTCTCATGTCTCCCTAAAATGTATAAAACTAAGTTATGTCCCGACCACCCTGGGCACATGTCATCAGGACTTCCTGAGGCTGTCTCAGGAGCATGCATCCTCAAACTTGGCAAAATAAACTTTCTAAATTAACTGAGACTTGTCTCAAATTTTCAGGGTTACAAATAATACCAGCAAATCAGGAGACCCTCTGAAGGGAAAAAGAAGGTAGTCTAACTTCGTTACGACTACAAAAATGACTCTGGTATATCCATACAATAGGATATTACTTAGCAAATAAAGGAAAAGAACTACTGACACAAAAAACACCATGGATGAATCTCAAAATAATCACGTTGAATGAAAAAAGCCAGAAAAAAAGAATACCTACTGTATGATTCTATTTATATAAGTTAGAAAATGAAAACTAATCTACAGTTACAAAAAGCTTATCAGTGGTTGCCTATGGATCAGAGCAGGAGGGAGACAGTACTGAAGGGTACAAGGAAACTGTTGGGTTGCCAAGTACGTCTATTATCTCTAGTGGTGACAGCTCTATGGCTGAATACCTGTGTGAAAACATCTAACTTTACACTTCTAATATGTGCAGCTTGGGTGTCACTTGACTCCTCAATAAAGCTGTTTAAAATTTCTTGATAAAAATAAGTTCACATTGACCACCAATCGGGTTTAACTGAAACCTTACAAAATGAAGATTATTTTCACTTTCAGAAGGATATCTGATTGCAGTTACATATCATGCTTTGTGGACAAGCAATTTCAGAATAAATACAGATGTCAAATATTTAAATGTCTGTATTTCTTCCCATTCATCCTTTTCATGATTTAAAAGAAGCTAAAGCATTTTACAAAAAAAATTCCATCACTTCAAGTTTCTTACAGAGACTCTCTGAAATTCAATAAACATTTAACTTTTTGGAAAAGACGGGACTTAAACATCATCCTGTCCAACTTTCTCAATTTAATGAAGTAAACTTAGCCCCTCCCCTTATAGGGAGTTCATCCAGTCTCATGGCTTTGAAGTCTGCTCTATGTTGCTGACACCTACCTTTGTCATTTTAATCTTGACCTCTCCACTGAACTACAGACATTTATTCCACTGCCCACTAAACCACCTCAGTTAACTATCTAATAAGTATCTAAAACCAATTGTGGCCAAAAGGTATCTTCTGATTCCCCTCACCACCAACTTCTCCTCCAATTTTCCCCATCTTAGTAATTGAACCCTCACACGTTCAGTTGCTCAACTAAAACCTAGAAATCAACTCTTGACTACTCATCTCCTGCCTTCTACACAGAATCCACACTTAAGTTCTTAGCTCTGTCTGCAAAGTATATTGCCAAAGCTGGCCCAGGCTCCATCTACACAGCTACTATGGCTTCTTACCCAGACAACAGCTCTGAAAGATCCCCATTTCCTCTTCTGCCTCTACCAGTCAGTCACTACACAGTAGCCATAGTCATGAGGCCATCAATCCCCAGACCTAGAACACTCTACAGACTTGCTGCCATCATTAAAGTGACATACTAATTCCTTATTCTGCCCTAAAAGATCAAGGCCCTTTCCACCTCTCTAGCCTCATCTACCACTATTTCTTCTCTGGATACATTCCAACATTTCATACTGACTGTCTCCAACACACTAAACTCATTTCCACCCCAAAGCCAACGCGTTCCCACCTCCATAGCTGGAATGCACACAGATACTTCACCATTCATATCTCAACTCAAATAACATCTTCAAAAGCTTCCCAGACCTCACAATCTACAGAAGCATCCCCTGGTGAGAAGCTGGTGGTTAGGGGAATGAATCAGGAGCCCTTTGGTCACAATACGTTTAGAAATGTATTAGGTATTCAAGTGAATATTTAATTAACTTATCATAGACTGCATTTTACTGATGTTACGGTACTTATCACTATCTAAAATTATCTTGTAAAGTTCTTTACTTATTTATTATATACGCTAATAAAATTCATTCATTCATTTATTCATTCATTCATTCCTGCTATGCCTATCAGAAGCATTAGCCCAAATAAGAACTATGATCTTTTCTTATTTCACTTGAAAGCATTCATTTCCAGGTGCCTGGTACTACTGGTTGAAAAGTACCCATGTGCATTTTTTTTTAAAGTCTATTTTAGTTCTTTTTAAATTCCTAAGTGTGATGATTGGGTTTCCACACTCAAACCTGCATGTGAACCTTTTTACAACATCAGCACATGACCAGTCTCAGGTTTAAAAATAAAGGTCAATTTCAACTGTCCTATTAATTTTACAAGATTCCAAATCTCTTTTCTTAAACCTTTTTACATCAGTACATTACCTGTCTGATGTTTAAAAATAAATTTCAATTTCAACTGTCCTATTAATTTTTCAAGTCTTCAAATTATGCGTCTAAACAACTGAAAAATTCAACTACTGGCCTGCCTCATTACCATGACATTTCCATTTGATATAATATCAACTTATCAATTTACATGAATGTTGTTAATTTTGAGATTGCATGGCCTTTCACTATAATAGTACACTTTTTGATAAGGATAAGGTCAATATAAAAAGTATTTACTTTTAATGATTAAATTGGGATCTCTAATATCTTACCTTTGGGATACTTAGCAAATAGTCAGTTACATAATATACTATCTAAATGCACCAATTTAAACATTTTTAATTCCTTTATTTTCTTTTTTAGAATTTCAAAGCTTTCAGACACTGCTACCAAAAAAATCACAATTGATTTTTTACCTGGTTGTTGCACATTATAAATGATCTATAGAAAATCATTAATCACTGGGATGTACATTTTATAAGGACAGAGATATTTATCCAGTGTGCTCATTGTATCCCCCAGCACCTACTCCCGGCATATTATCAGCTTAAAATAATATGTGTTGTTAAATACCTGCAAGCTCCTCTTTTATCTTATGGAGATCAGCATGTTACTTCCGCATTTAGAGCATACTGCTGATATGTGTAATATCTTCTTGTTATTGCTTGAAGACATGAAAATATTAGGCATGATCTGAACAGAAATTCTAAATCACAAATTCTTGACTTTCAAGTTATACAGTGATATATGGCAAATGGGTGGCAAGAGATCAACATAGATTTTCGCATAAGGTGTGATCAACATAGATTCTCTTACATTGTGCTGAGGAGGCAAGACTCAATATGGAGTCTGGATACACAGACTGCTCTAGGGCTAGGGAGAAAGCCACTGATAGAAGACCATCTGTCTGTGCATGAGAGTATCAAATTTTAGACTGATGCCAAGGTGAATGTTAAATAGCGCTACAGGGCTGACAACGAACGTTGCCATAATAAAGTAGTTAGAAGCAACCATTGTGAATCATAAAAAAGCGGCCGGGCGCGGTGGCTCAAGCCTGTAATCCCAGCACTTTGGGAGGCTGAGGCGGGTGGATCACAAGGTCAAGAGATCGAGACCATCCTGGTCAACATGGTGAAACCCCGTCTCTACTAAAAATACAAAAAATTAGCTGGGCATGGTGGTGCGTGCCTGTAATCCCAGCTACTCAGGAGGCTGAGGCAGGAGAATTGTCTGAACCCAGGAGGCGGAGGTTGCGGTGAGCCGAGATCGCGCCATTCCACTCCAGCCTGGGTAACGTGAGTGAAACTCCGTCTCCAAAAAAAAAAAAAAAAAAAAAAGCAGCTTAGTTTTTGGTGTGCTGCAAGTAATTTATACTAATGAAAATTGAAATAGTCAAGTTCATGAACAATCATTCATGAATAATCAAGATTATTCCTAAGACATTACTCTTGCCCTCACATTTCTAAGAAAAAAACAGCAGAGATACAGATACAACTAGTTTACTGGGAACTACATATAACACAGTGAACACGAGTGGGAATGTGTGTCATATGAATGCTACCTATCATGTCAAAGCAGGCTGACACTGCAGATCTGAAGCAAGCAGCTCTCTACCACCTAATAAATCCTAAATACGAGTCCCTGTTCCATCTTCAACCAAGTAACCACTGGCATTTATAACTTGTTTCTTAATATGAAAATAAGAAGAATCCCTGTCTAGATTTGTAAATAATAAAATTTGCAAAGAAAAAGAAAAGTAAACATATACTTCTGATCCTTTGATCAGCATGATCTGCCTACCTGGCTGGCTGGACTGAGGAGGAGCAGGTTCAGAAGCCACTGGGAGAGCTCCAATACAAGGTAAGATGACAAGTAAACAGGCCATTATTTAACAAACAAATATGCATTATACCATGTCACACCCACCGAGATGCCTATATACAAAAAGATAGTAACGGTTGACAAGAATGTAAAGATACTGGAACCCTCACACATTGCTGCTGAGAATGTAAAATGATACAGTCACTTTGGAAGACAGTTCCTCAAAACGTTAGTATAGTTATCATATGGGCCAGCAATTCCACTCCCAGGTATACACACAGAAGTAGTAAAAAACAAATCTACACAAAAGCTTCTACACAAATGTTCACAGCAGCATTCTTCATAATTGCAAAAACATGAAAACAACCCAAATGTCCATCAACAACAGACAGACAAATAAAATGTGATATATCCATATAACAGAATATTTGGGAATTAATAAAAAATGCATGATGATATACAAACATAGATAAACCTTGAAAACATGCTAATGAAAGAAGTCAGACACAAAAGACCACAAGTCGTCTGATTGCACTTACACAAAATGTCTAAAATAGGCAAATCTATAGAGACAGAAAGTAGATGAGTGCTTGCTTAAGGCTGAGAGATTTGGGAAAAATAGGGAGTGACTGTGAATGGGTACAAGGTTTCTTTTTGTGATGAAAGTGTTACAGATTAGACAGTGGTGATAGCTGTACAACTGTGAATATTTTCAAACCATTGAACAGTACACTTTCAATGGGTGAGTCCTATGGTATGTGAACTATATCTTGATAAAGCTATTAAAATATATTGTGCATTATCTTTAAATAATTATAGCTTTCAACCATCAAATGACATGTCTTATCAAGATCAATTATGGACATGTTGTCACCCCAACAGCTACATTCCATATAGTTCACAAAGTCCTCTCACAGCCCCCAGTCCCCATGACCAAGAGTGTTCGCCAGGGCATTTCTGCCAGAGCTCCCAGAGAAGATGCTTTCTCTTCCTAGGATCACAGGTGGAGCTGGTTTCACTGGAGCTGCTTCTGTGACAAGAGAGACTGGGCCAACACTCTAAGAAAAGCAGGATGAGAGAGGCAGTGGGGCAGTGGGATAAAGAAGGAGGGGGAAAGAGAAAGGTGGGAAAGGAGGAGACGCAGAGAGGAAAAGCACAGTAATTATTGTTGGAGCATCTGCATCTAGCCAGGCTGGCTAGTTCAAAGTGAGTTTCTGTAATTTGCTTTTAGGAGAGTCTTAATGTGTTACTTCACTACAAACTCTTTCCCTACTTAACTGATAAACTTTCTAAGGATATATACACAAGTAAAACTAAATCCTGGGCCTTTTTTGTTTAATAAAAAGACATATGAAACATTGGAAAGAGCACACATAGCTCAGTGGTTAAATGAACTCAGACAGACTTGGATTCAAATGTGAGTCCCAGGCTTACCTAAGTGACCTTGGGTACACACAATTTAACTTCCCCAAACTTTAGTTGCCACTTCTGTAAAATGGGAACCCTAGGTTTGGTTTTCTCACAGACAGGCCACTGTCCACATTAAATGAAATAACTCATGGCAGGGTCTCAATACAGTACCTGACATATGAAAACACAACAATATGACCCACCATTATTCCTGGTAAACGCATGATTTATCACAGATATATTTAGAGCATAAAAAAGTATTGTTTTAAAGCAAAGATAGTACGAATAAGACTTAGTGCCAGAGAAAACTGT